TGCTCTGGAAACAGCGAAGGACTGGCCCGTGGTGCCTCTGCCAATGAAAACAGGCTCCCAATCTCCATTTTCAACTGGGATGGCCTCCTGCAACCCTCTGCCAGTGGGTTACGAGCTCCGTTTTCACTGGCAGAGAGTTGCAGGAGGCCGTCCCATCTGAAAACCGAGATCGGGAGTCTGATTTTGCTGGCAGAATGCTTGGGCCTCCACGGGCACCCGACACAAGTGATGTCAAGCTGACCATACCCATTCTGGCCACACACCCCGACCCCCACAGAGGTCAAACACAACTCTGATGCGGCCCTCAAGTGAAACTGAATTTGACACCCCTGATCTAGAGACTCTATGATCTCCTCCTGCTGGTGATTCTGGAGCATCCCCAGCTTAAAACCCGTGAAAACGGGGAAATTAATTAAAGCTGATTCACTCATATACAGGTAGTCCTCGACTTATGACCATAACTGAGCCCAAAATTTGTTAAGTGAGACATTTATTAAGCGAGTCTTGACCTTTTTTAGGAATTTTCTTGCTACATTTATTGAGTGAATCACTGCAGTTGTTAAAGTAGTCACACAATTGTTAAGTGAATCTGGTCAGAAGTCACAAAGGGGATCATAGGACCTCCGGGGCACTGCCATCATCATAAATATGAGCCAGTTGCCAAGCTCTTGAATTTTGATCAGGGGACCGTGGGGATGCTGCAATGGTTGCAAGTTTGAAAAACAGCCATAAGTCACTTTTTTCAGTGATTGTAACTTTGAACGGTCACTGAATGAACTGTTGTAAGTCGAGGACTACCCTCATGGACTTTGTCTTCTTCCTCAATCCCAGATCATTATACAATTGAGCCAAATTCTACCTGTACATCACTTGCTTGGTGCCTGCAAAAAGTGAGATAAAAAAAAATCTAACAAAAAACCAAGTAATGTATTGCATGGATGAATTGAGTGCCACAAAGACCCAAGTTTTCCACTTCTTCCTATGATGGAGAATCTTCAGCAGCAGCAGCAGCACTGAATTACCTTTTTACAGGACAGAACTTATTTTCTGAGGGGAAGGAAACAAATGAAGCAAAATATATATATATAAACATGTGAGATCCAAACCCTGAATGATGGCCAACAGCAGTGGTGATATGCCACAGATTTGGACCGGTTCAGCCGAACTGGTAGTAAAAAAAAAGCCGATGATCAGCTGAGAGGAGGAAAAAAAATCCTCCACAATCAGCTGGGAGGAAAAAGAAGAGAAAAGCACAGGATTGGCCCTCCTACCCAACCTTGCGGTTTTCTCTTCTTTACCCTCTCAGCTGATTGGCCCTGCAGGTCTCAGCTGGGATGGGGAAAGCTGCGCGCCAAAGCACGCCCCCCAAGCCACGCCCACTGAACCAGTGGTAAAACAATTTGAATCCCACCACTGGCCAAAGTATACCTACTGGGTAAGTTACAAGGAAATATTCTTTCCGGGGTGTTATATTTATAATGCCCATATGAATGATCAATACACCTTTTGTTCTGGGTATAAAATATACTAGACTGGAGACACTGAGCAAAGTCACCTTACAACATTTTGCCCACAGATTCATTCATTCATTCATTCATTCATTCATTCATTCATTCATTCATTCATGTATACACACACACACACACACACACACATATTTATAATATAAGGAATTTTGCACCACTCTTTTGTTGCATATGCATTGCCCGGCCCAGTTTAAGCCTTTGAGTTCAGTACAAAATTCAAAAATGTTTAAAAGGCAAAATGACAAGGTAAAGCTGCAGTGCTTAATACCACCTTTTAAAGGGGATTTCAAAAATGTCTTATTAACATCAAAAAAACAGGTGAAGGTGAGCAATAACATCTTCTGAAATGTGCAGTGCTAGTGAAGCTAAAATAGTGCTAAGCTTCCTAAAGATGCTAACAGATGATCTTTACCTTTCAGTAGAACAATCCAAGAGACGCTATAAAAAACATGGATGGAGGAATCTACTGGACCCAGTTGAATCTCTTTTGGGTGCTTGCACTACCCATCCCCAATCTGTAGCTAAAGGTATGGTGGTCCCTGTGAAGAATACAGGGGATGGAGAAAGTATGCAAAGTGCAAACTCAAACAAGATTTTTCCTTAGAAGAGCAACAGACTATGGGCACAGGGGATAAATGCTGTCAGGTCATTTTTATCAGAACTCAAATATTGAAAGCAGCCTCATCTTGACTCTTGACATCTTGACTCTGTTCTCGCCACAATATCAACCAAATGGGAGCCTTCGCAGCCTTATAAAAAGTTTGGGTAAAGGATGCACACAAATGAAAACCAACTTCCTCAGCTTTTCCCCAGTTTGGAACTTTTCAGGCCTGTGAGAATCATGTCTCCTGAGAATCATAAGTGTTGTATTCCAACATATCCAGGGAAGACTATAAAAGGAAAGGCCAAAGGACAGCATCAGTATTAAACACGGGAGGAAACGACAGGTTCAAATCCCATTCTGTCATCCATAAAGCTCACCATCAGCCATCAAACTCATTCTGCCTAAATCTAAACCAGTGTTTGTTGAATTTGGCAACAGAAGTATGGACTTCAGTTCCCAGAATTTCCCTGCATGGCTATGGAACTCTGGGAGTTAAATTCTACGCATTTTAAAAGTTGCCAAGTTTGAAAAACACTTGCCTAATCCTTCATATCTGCCAAGGTTGTTTTGAGAAAGACCCATGTATATGAGAAAGACTCTATGTTGTTGGATAAAGGGCAGGGTGAAAATGATTTGCAATGTCCTTAATCACAAGAAAAAGAAAATGCTACCTCCAGTATGGAAAAAAATCCATTTAAAATAGACTTAACAGATCTACTGGTTCATTTATAAATGACTTTTCAAGAATAGAAACCATACAATGTGTTCAGCAGAGGGCGCTCTAGGAAGTTATTTAAAGAGAAACCTTTTTCTCCCTTTTTAATTTTTTTAAGCATGCCAGGCTGATCTAATCGCTGCAGATATGGTCTTTTCTTTCTTTCTTTCTTTCTTTCTTTCTTTCTTTCTTTCTTTCTTTCTTGTTCTTTCTTCTTCATAGTTTTAACAACAGCACTAGCATAATTATCTTATTGTCTCTTAAAGCAAAAGAGGGGTTTGTCCCCTTGTTTTTTTCCCTCCACCCCCAATCCCAACCTCAGTGGCCTTCATCTTTTTCAATTCTCACTTTTATTACATATTCACTTTTTCTTTCTTTCTTTCTTTCTTTCTTTCTTTCTTTCTTTCTTTCTTT